CTTCTGGTTCAGCTTTATGTGTCCGGCAAGGGGGGTGCTCACTGTTTTGGCTTTGTCCATGCTGAATCTCTTCAGTATCTTCTCAATGTACTTCTCTTGACTCAGCCACAGTAGCTTCTTCTGTCTATCTCGGATAATCTTGATTCCGAGAATCTGCTTTGCAGGGCCGAGGTCCTTCATTGGGAAGGACGAGCTCAACGGCTTTTTTAGGGCGGCTATCCTCGATTTGTCTTTCCCTACAATAAGCATGTCGTCAACATATAACAACAAAATCAGAAAATCTCCAGCCTCATACCTCTTCACAAATACGCGGTGGTCGGTTTCAGTCTTCTCAAACTTATGATCAATCATAAATGATTCAAATTTCTTGTACCACTGCCGAGGTGCTTGCTTCAAGCCATAGAGACTCTTCTTCAACCGACATATCAAGTCTTCTTGGTCTGGAGCTTGGAATCCTTCAGGTTGCTCCATATATATTTCTTCTTCTAAATCACCGTGAAGAAATGTCGTCTTCACATCCATTTGTTCTACCTCGAGGTCCATCGAAGCCGCCATGGATAACACAGTTCGGACTGAGGTCATTTTCACCACAGGAGAAAAAATCTCCTCAAAATCTACTCCTTTCTTCTGATTGCAGCCTTTCACTACAATATGGGCTTTGTATCTCGGCTTTTTCTCGTTCTCTTCATTCTTAATCTTGTAGACCCATTTATTTTTCAGAGCTCGTCTTCCTTCAGGAAACTTGGTCAGCTCATAAGTCTGATTCTCATGCAGAGACTTCATCTCGTCTTGCATTGTCTTTTTCCATTCTTCTTTCTCTGAGCTCATCACAGCCTCATCATAACTTTGAGGCTCACCGTCTTCAGCAACAACGGTGTATTCATCAGATGGGTATCTCGTAGAGGGTCTTCTTTCTCGAGTTGGATATCTCAGTTGTTCTTCAGCTTGAGAACCCGGTTCATCATTCTCATCCCGGATCTCATCATCAACTCGGACCTCAATGTCTTGGTCATCTTCAACTTGTTGCTGGTCATCAATTTCTTCATTCTCTTGATTTTCTCCCCCTGCTTCAACTCGGACATGAGGGATGGATTCTTCGTGTCTGACAGTAACCTGGACTTTGGGCTTCGAGATGTCATGAATGTTCTCATGCTCATGAAAGATCACATCTCGGCTTTTCACGATCTTCTTATTGATTGGATCCCGAAGTTGGAACCCGAACTCACATCTCGACGAACCAAGATAAATGCATTCTTTAGTCTTTGCATCAAGTTTGGTCCTTTCATCTTTAGGGATATGCACGAAAGCTCGGCATCCAAACACTTTCAGTTGATTATAGGCCACTTTTCGACCTGTCCAGACTTCTTCTGGAATTTCTCCTTCAAGTGGCCGTGATGGTGAGAGGTTGATCAAGTCAACAGAGGTTTTGACGGCTTCTTCCCAGAATGATTTCGGTAATCCGGCATTGGATAACATGCTTCGGACCTTCTCTTCAATGGTTCTGTTCATCCGCTCAGCCAGTCCATTCAGCTGAGGTGTCTTGGTGGGCGTCTTCTCAAGTCGAATCCTGGCCGCTCTGCAATATGCATCAAAAGGGCCGCAATACTCACCACCATTATCAGATTGGACCACCTTCAATTTCTTGCCAGTCTCCCTTTCAACCATTGCATGGAATTCTTTAAAGGATTGGAGTACCTGGTCTTTAGACTTCAACAAATATACCCACACTTTGCGGGAATGGTCATCAATAAATGAAACAAAGTATTGAGCTCCTCCAAGGGATCTTTCCGACATGGAGCATACATCAGTATGGACGAGGTCAAGAATATACCTGCGTCGTCTAGGTTGATCCGGTCTCACATAAGAAACCCGGTGCTGCTTTCCAGCTAGGCAATGTGTGCAACTCTCCAACACTTGGCCTTTCAACCCGGTCAGTAATCCTTTCTTGCTCAGGATCTGTAGCCCTTTCTCGCTCATGTGGCCGAGGCGCTTGTGCCATAGCTCCAAGCTAGGTTCATCTCGAACATAATTGGCTTCTCCGCCATTGATCTTTCCTTGCATCACGTACAAGGACCCTTCTTTCTTACCTCCGGCCACGACCAAGTTTCGCTTGGCTAGCTTCCATCTCACACTACCAAAGTAGTTCACTAACCCGACATCGTCAAGCTTGCCTACCGAGATTAGGTTCAAACGCATGTCACATGCCTTACATCTTTCAACACAAGTCGGCATCTGACATCTGTGGTTAGAGTTACATCACCGACACCAACAATCATGTTGGTCACTTGATTTCCCATCTTCACGACTCCAAAATCACCACCTCGATAAGAGGAGAAAAAACCTTTGTGTGGAGTAACGTGGAATGAGGCACCGGAGTCAACAATCCAGGTGCAATCATCATATGCAACATTTAAATAATTATCCTCACCTAGGAGGAAAATCTCGGCATCAGGGTTGGCAACCACCGCAGTGGTGCTCTTGTCTCCCCTCTTCTTGGGAATAATCTGATCCGGCTTCACAGAGCCGTTCTTCTTATCATTTTGCAGGGTCCAGCAGTCTGGCTTCTTATGGCCTGTCTTTCCACAGTAAAAGCACTTCAACTCATATTTCGGCTTTGACCGACCTCTGGACTTTTCTCGTCTGTCACGACCTCTACCCCGACTTTTGCTTCTACCCCGGGAGTCAGATTTCCCTTTGTTTTCAGCAACGTTGGCTTCAGACGTGCTCGGAGTACCTCGTTCTCTTCTCCTGGATTCTTCTCCCAGGAGGCTGTCTGTCACGACATCCATCTTCAATTTTTCATCTGGAGTCGAGTTATTCAGGGTCACCACCAGAGTATCCCAGCTTTCTAGCAGCGAGCTAAACAGCAGCAATTCCTGCAATTCTTCATCAATTTTCATATCAGCTTTTGACAGCTGATTCACAATACCTTTGTAGGTGTTCAGGTGTTCAATCATGCTCATGCCGTCCTTGTATTCAAGCTTCACAAGTCGGCGAACCAGGTATGCTTTATTCCTGGGAGTCTTCTTTTGAATCATGGACTCCAGCTTCGTCCACAACTCATACGCGTTCGTGAATTCGAACACGTGCTCAAAGAGGCTTTTATCAATATATTTCCTTATCGTGGCTACCGTCTTCCGACTCAGGATCTCCCACTCCTTATCAGTTTTGCCTGTCAGTCTCTCATCAAGGATAATGGGCTCATGTAAATCTTTGCAGTAGAGATGATCTTCCATCATCGGTCTCCAATAAGTGAAGTTGTCTGCGGTCAACTTGAACATATCTCCATCATGAGTTATGTCACTGGTCTCCATCTCGTCTCCCTCAGAACCCGTCGAACTCAGGCTCTGATACCACTGTTGGGAACTCGGTTCCCTCAGATCGGCTCAGGGGCCTTTTGCGGAAGTCAGTCAGCAAGATCCTGATCTCGGATCTCGGCAATACCTCGGCCTGAACTTCACCAGGTCAGGCAGCGCAACGGAAAAATCAAAAACGAAAAAACACAAAACAGGAGAGAGAGAAGAATAACACAACTAGTTTTAACTTGGGAAAACCTTCTCCAATGAAGAAGTAAAAACCCACGGGACCTAGTCCAAATCAAAAAAATCCACTATGAAAATAATGGTTACAAATAATCAGAATACACCAATGTGGTAGTTAACCCAACCTCTCCAACAATGGTGATAATCAAACTACCCTAAAGATGTTTCACTCAAACTCTCTCTAGAGATCTCTCAAATGCAAAGCATAAAGCTTTACTCAAACAATCAAATAATTTTTCTCTCAAATTTATTCTCTCAATCTGACCTAGCCTCCACCCTCAACTAATGATTATATATAGAGGAGGTGGAATTTAGGGTTAGGGTTTTTAGAAAATCTCTCAAATGGGCTTGGGCTTAGCATTGAAGGAGGAAGCCCAACAATATGATCACAACCACATATTGATAGTGAGATAAAAAAGAGAAAAATATATGATTTTTAAAAAAATGATTAAGATCAAATAATATAATCACATTACCACTTTTTCAATCCAAATCCAAAATTTTAATACGAGAAGATGTATTCTCAAAGTTGACAGTTTTTTCGACAACGAATATGCCACAAGAATAACACCTAGTTTCAAAAATTCCTGGAGCGATTTTGTTATAGAATTATATTGGATTTTCCACTAGTTATACAATCATGTTGGCACAGAAGATATTAGTTTCGCTCCCCTTCACCAAGATTTATGAGCCTGCCACTAAAAATGATTACTCCATGACGATTTATAAGTCTAAATTATTTTTATCTCAATAAGTTTTGGTCCAAGATATGAAACGAGTTTAATCGTTATTTTAAAAAACTCACGAGTATTTTTAGGAACTTGTTAGTTAAGGTAATAAAAATAAAATAGATTTTTATTTAAAAGTAAAATATTTATTTTATTAAAAATACAATAATTTAATACTTTTTCAGTCATTTAAATTATAATAAACTATTAAATACTCCTTAACAAGTTAAAACACTTGTTAACAAATCTCTTATTTTAAAGGTCTTACTTAAAAAGCTCAGATTAAGAAACATTAAATATATTTTATCAAATCATTTCAAAATTTAAATGAAAAAGCATTTTTATTTTTCATCTAATACTTTCTATTTCTTTTCTTTTTTTGGTAAGCTAATACTTTCTATTTCAATTCCTTAGCTAATGTTAACAAATTTGCTATTTTATTTAGATTTATTGTTATAGCTACTATTTATGTTTGCTTTGTTAGCATCTTCCTAGATTACAGCATCTTCAGATGGTGAGACCCAGTAGAAGATAATGAGGGAATTGAAAGAATAGAAGAGGATGGAAAGGAAAATTGGGCAAAGAAAGTTTTTTGGATAAGTAAAAAATAAAACTGATTCCCTAAACCCAACTTATCCCATCTACTTCATATTAATGAACTTCTCCATTATTTGGCCAATTTCAGCTTTATCAGATATTAAATTCTCTCAATGGAAGCAAGTGAGGAACCGATAAACATGCACAGCTCCTTAGTTAGTGGTGGAGTACGAGACAGGAGAGACCACTATTTTTACCTTTCACCAAAAGGGCTTAAAGTAGATAGTGGAAAGTTTGAACCTTTTAAGGTCCACTTGAAGTTAAAGCCTATTTTTCATTCAGACCAACAAAAAACAGAATGCAAACAGCCATGTGCATAGCACGGCAATAAAGTAAATATCAGGCCTTAGACCATTTGGTCCTCCAAGACCTGAAAGGCATGATGTTGCATTTCAGGCCTCTTGCCACTGGATACATGACATTATAAATGTTACCAAAGGAAATCGATATGGGGTTTAATCTCTTCCATATTTGAAATATGAAATATGAAATGTTATAATCGAGGTTTAGGACCCTTCCTTCCCGGAATCTCTAATGCATCATAATGACCAAACCCATAATAGAGAACTCTAATTGGATTTTCCTTGCCGTATTCTTGGCCATACTCAGCAATTGATATTAAGCCACCAGCATCCTGATCATACATGTACACGGTGATTGGCATCCTGAAGAATAGGTCTCCCTCAGATCAATATTTTAACATGTATGGTACATAAATGCATAAAGGTAGGTAAATCACTAGCCAAAAAGGAAGAGAGGCACACTTACTTCAAAACATGTGAAGCAATGAACAATTCAGGTTCACCTCCCCACACATGAGGCTTCCTTATTTGTGAAATATATGTATCAAAATCACCTTCAATAAACCTGAAGATATCGTGAGACAACTATGTTCATTAGCAAACAATCATTCATCATTATACATTAAACGAAGAAACACTTATTGTTCTTACAGACATAAAAAGCCTAAGTTGACATATGTTGTGATTTAAGTTTTAATACATTGCTCCAAAAAGTAATGTATGGGTGTAATGAGTTGGGTTTCTAGGATTAAATTAAATAGAATTTTTTATTAAAAAAAGTTCCTTGAAAATAGGATGTGGATGTGAGAGGTTGGTTTAGGAGATCAACTTAAAATGACAATTTTCTCCTTTTTTTAATAAAAAGACTTCTCATTTTTAGGAAAAGAAAATTTCGACACAAGAGTGGATCCTTTCATGTGTTACTTAACATGACCATATCATGTGAGAGGATCCAAATCATACAAGGGTGAATCAATGGTGCTAAGTGATGAAAGAGAAAAAATATAAGCACAAGAAGCTACAAAATCATCACCGTTGATTTATTCGTTAATGGTCAAGATTCCCTCTCTCACATGACATGGTCATATTAAATAACACATGAGAAAACTCATTTTCATTTGACATCAAAAAGAAAATCTGTTTCTATAGAAGTATATATTTACCATGCAAACAAAATAAGGACTTTATGAGGTCAAAACATAAGGATTGAAAATAAACTCTTCCTGTTTTTATTAAAAGTAGAAAAGATGATTGCAATACCTCAATAATTTTATTTTATTTTTATACAATGATAGCACTAAGGTCTAAATCTATAACCTCATGTAAACTACCTAAACCCCATCAACACTACCCATTCCTAGTGGTTTAATTCTATTGTTTTTTTAGCTATATATATATGTTATAAAGGGAAAACCTTGGCGCACAAGGCTCCCTGACTTGGGATGATAGGGGTGAAGGTCGATTATATGCAGCCTTATCCTTGCATTTTGCAAAGAGGTTGTTTCCCATACTTGAATTTGTGACCTCCCAGTCACAAGGAACAACCTTACCACTGTTCCAAGGCTCACCCTCCAGGGATATGTATGTGTAATAAAAAAAAAAAAAGGAGATTGAAAGAAATGTCTTGATGAAAAATAAATAAATAAATAATTTTCATTCATGTAGTGTAACCACCAGAGTGCTACGGGTATCCAATACAGAATCTCACCATTCTGTCTCTTCCCTTCTTTTGATAAACTCATCAGCAACCTGTCCAATAGAACAGACAAAAAAAAATATCAGCAGTCAACATAAACTTAACAATCACTTTAAATTGTAGTCACTACTCTGCATTCAATTCTTCTGTTTTGTGTTTTTCCCATTAGTTTTGTTTCATGGCCACCACTAAAGGGTTTTTTTATTTTGGGAAGGGGGGGGGGGGGGGGGGGGGGGGGGTTATCTAAACTTATTAGCATGATGCAAATTGCAGATACTTAAAACATACTCTGGCCCGTAAATCATCTGCCAGCTCTCTCTGATAACTTTCACTTGGAGGGGCTTTTCCAGACGTCAAACAAGCCCCGTGAGCAACAGAGCGGAACATGCATCTCCCATCCCCAGGTATTCCTGCTTAGCATGATAAGTATCATAAACAATGCAGTGAATACATACAAATGCCTGGTTCTTATCTGCATTGATTTGCCCATATTAAGGCATAAGTAAACATGTAAATAGACTATGTATGTGTATGCCTCTAAAGACTCGTAGAAGAATTTGCAGCTCACCAATTACAGAATAGTCAGTGTAAACTTTCTTCCCGTGTGAGAATTTAACGTTTGACTCATACTTGTTGCAGTCATCCTTCCTATTTTCATTCTCAGAATATGCGTCAGCATGGGCAGGTTCAGAACTTAAATTACATACAAGTAATCCAAAAATCAAGCCAACTGATGCACATCCTCGTGGCCAAATTATCGGTCCCACATTACACTTAACCTTGGAAAGAATTTTTTGTTTAGGTACCAAAAGCCTCATTTTCATACTTTGGCATGCCAATGAAATTTCATGATGCCTCTTGTGACGTACTACAGAACTAAAGAATTGAATGTTGCCCCTTTGCTTGGAGCAGCATGATCCAAGGCAAGCTCGTCTCATTGTTTGACCCATAATAGTTGAACAAGACGATTTTGTGCAAATAGAAACACCAACATGATTTATCTTTGAATGACTAGGGCACAAACTGGAAGAACATGAACTGGATATTCCTCGGGACCAAGGACCATAGATGTTACTGCTCATCAGCAGCTGAGTACGACCTTTCAGGACAACAGCATTTATTGAAGATTGACAACCAGGAAAGTAAACACTCATGTTTACATTGCCTGAATCAAATCCAAGTATATTCATCAGAAATTATCCAAAATAACATTCCTAGGAATATAAATATTAGCCTTAATCTTGCCAGATTCAAGTATTATATGCCAGTGGCTAGCTAAATTCTCGAGAACCAGTTCACGGGATTTGGAAGCCATCATCATGTTAATCATGTGCATAACATTCATGACATATCACTAGAAAATTAGTATAAATTACTTAAATATAATTTAAAACTAGGGTACAATAGTTTTGAATATACCAAACATGTCAACTACTTAGAATTGTGGTTAGTAACCAATTCATCTGAAGCTCAGAATGCCAGATCAACACAACAAACACTACAGTCCAACAGCAAGATTACTTAAATGACATTCAATAAAATAAAATTCGAATGTATAAGATTACCAAGTTTTAAGAACAGTATGTAATGGTCCCGCAAGAACAGTATATACTGGTCCCGTCATGTATGTATGTGGTTTTTTGGCCATTGACTCTATATGCATTCAAATACTCATTATGGAGGCATTCATATTATCATATATATGTCCTTCGCATTGGTTTCCAGTAATATATGGTGTCAAAATTTTATTGTCAATATCATTTCCCAGAAATTAATCTATTTGACACAATAAAAAAATAACTTAGAAGTTCATGATTTTTATTTACCCAAAAAAAGAAAGAAAAGATAAGTTTACATTGTACTCAGTTATTGGGTGTTATGGCATTGGCAACCATGAGATTACATAAAAGTAATGACCAATCTAGACATTTAGAAGGCTCAAATTCTAAGTCTTCAAAATTTAAGATGTTTCTGACACCAACAATAGAAGGGAATTACCAGCCAAACTCCCATGATACAGTTTCTAGAAAATTTTAAAAGAAAGGACAGCTGATTAAAAGTGTGAATTCCATTATCTTACTCCCAATACATATAACACCACAATATACCATTTACTTACACTATTAAGTATCAACAACCAGAAAACTAAAATCCTGTGAAAAGAAAAACTAAATGCATGCCAATAAGCACAAAATCAGAACTGAACTGAAAACAGGAAACAACCAAGAAATTCCCACCTATGAATGCATCTCAGTCTTGTCAATTCAACATCCTCTTAACAATGGATGTATGCAATCTACTCAATAAGGCTAAGAATCCGTGCAAACCTTGCAGTGCTTCTTTTCCTATTTATCATCTGAGACCATATTACCTCATACTTACATGTCTCATCAGTCCCTTTAGCAATATTGCATGAATACTTTAGAAATCTCTAATTAAACATATTAGAAAATTAGAAAGCTTCCCTAAAAAGGGTCCATTTAACAAATACACACAAATTTAAACTAAATATAAAATCATTCTATACTCTACTTTTACCAACAACAATCCTAGTTAAGGAACTTCAATACATCATTCTGAGACATAATAAAGCGTGCATCTTTATATGAGTAGAAGTAGTAATTATTCAAGCATGTCCCATGTTGGTAAATAAACCCCTGAAACATTGAAAAATCATCTTTATAAACTCTTGACAATTCACCAAATTGGATATTATGAATTTTCAGTTATTAATATGGAATTAGAATAATCATCCCAATCCAAAATGAACCCACATCAGTGTTCTTTTTTAAATAAAATTGAACACATATCAGTTAACATCATCAAAAATCCAAAAAATAAAATAAAAATACTTGCACTGGATATTATAATTTTTAAAGATTTAATATAGCATACATGTCAAGGAACTAGAATACAATATTTCCACACCCAAAAAAAAATAAAAAATAAAAAATTTAAAAAATAAGAAGAAGAAGAAGAATTTAAATTCCCAATGACTCCTGTTAGACAATTTATAACAAACACAATATAGAATAGAAAAACCCAGAGCGGGAGGGAAACCAAACCTGTTGAAGCATGTGAAAGATGAAGAGCGAGTGGTTGGGTTTGGGGGTTCTAAAGAAAAACCCAGAGCATGAAAAACGAGAAGCAGAATGAGTATTCTTCTAGAGAAATGCTATGTTGTGGAATTGAAGAAAAGAATAATAATAGTTGGAAGATGAATTGGTGAAGCAAGAAGCGTGGTGAATTTTCAAATAATGTTTCAGAGAAGCCACTCCTGTTCAATTCTTCTGCAACCTCTAGCTCCTTCTGGATGACTATATTGGGTAATACGGGTCAACCCTGTTGGGTCGGATTTTTTGGGTAAACTGTTGGGTCGGGTTTAATCGGGCCCTTTATTAGTGAGCCTATTCCAAATCAAGCTAGCCTCCAACGAGAAAAAAATTAAATAAATTGCAATTTAAATAAAAAAAATACAAAATTATTGTGGTTGGTAAACTATTTACGAAACTAATGAAATTAGTTGTGCATTATTTGGTTACATATTATTGCATCTTTTTTGGGGCGCATCTTCTCATGCATTGAGCCCACGTTAGGGAACAGCTCACGAGATGATGTCACTTAGCACAATTCACACCATCAAGTTCAATTATTCCTTACCATCTCTGCATTCTCATTATCTGCAACTCACATACCAAGATATTATTCATCTTTAGAGTATGATCTTGATGTTAGTTCTGTTCCGTGAGTGTATGTATATGTGGAAACGAAGAACAAAAGATATATGTAATACTTTAAAACTTTGGAAGTAGATAACTTTTGGTTTGATTATCTAAATCGAGCGATATTTTTATTTAACTTTTTGAGATTTACACGATGACAAATACTCGGAGTGGATTTGGTAAAAAAAAATTTAAAAAGCTTACATAAAACTTATTGAACTTGTCATAAAGTAGTCATCTTAATCCTTGGAGGTGACAATTTGGGTCGACACGACTCAACACGTATACACTCAACACGAATTTGAAATCGGGTTAAAAAGTTTGACACAAACATGACCTACTTGTTTTGCGGCTTGACATGACACGTCACGAGTAACCTGCAAGTCCATACTGTATAGCTTATTATGTAGGTTAACTCGACACGATATGACACGAATAACCTGTCAAACTCAAATTATGCTACTTACTATGCAGATTGACATGACACGATAAGAGACGAATAACTTGTTTACGACACCACATAATACAAAAAACCTGTAAGAAAATTAGTGCAAGTCAACTTCGGATTCGCGGGTTGACACGTGATACGATACGAATTTTTTCGGGTCAATTTTTGCCAACCTAAACACGACATGAATTTAAAAAAGGGTCGACCCGAGCATAATTTTTTGTACCGTGTTCGTGTCGTATCAACAAGTTGTGTTGAATATTGTTACTCCTAGTCCCAATGGTTAAAGACTTGCACCATAATAGGCGCAACAGCCAACAAGCACTGAGTTGCGCTTGTTTCTATGAGCAACCACTTGCGCCGAAAATGATGCACAATTGGTTGCATTAATTTCGTAGATAATTATTTGATTGCTTTATTTTTATATTTTTTATTTAAATCATAATTTTTAAATTTTTCCCCCCAATTCTAAGATATCAAACAAAAAGGTGAAAGAGTGTTTTTATATTAAAAAATTTGATACATAATTGTTTTTTAAGACTTAATTGTGCTATTCATTCCTTTGTTACAACTAATGCACAATTTTCACCAAAAAAATTTCTCGAATTAAATCTCTTAATTTTTAAATTAATACAATCAGGCCTTTTTATTTGTTATCTTCATTTTATAATTCTTAAATCTTTATTTTCTAGTTAAATAATTGGGAATCTACGACAAATTTAAGATGAGAAATGACCTGAATGATTTAGAATATGAAAAAATGGTGGAATTTGATAAATTTTGATTTTTTTTACAAAAAGTGCAGTCAAAGTTTGAAGAGGGAAATATTGAAATATTTTAGTTTTAGATAAAATGTAATATTTGGATTGGTAGTTTTAAGTTGAAGAATGGTTTAATTAATTTAATTGTGCAAATAAAAATGGATAAATATTAATATTAATTTAACTGTAGCAATTCGCGTGATTACCAAAATATAATAATTGAATTAGAAGTTGAAACTGAAAACAAAACTAAAAACCGTAACCAAAAAAAAATTATGGGAAAAGTATTTCTCCAGTAATCGGAGATAAAATTATATTCGGTGAATCTAGAATGACGTCGCTTAGGATGTAAGATTAAAAAATTATAATAATAAAGATTAATATAACCCTGCAATAAATTAGAATTACAAAAATACTTTAATTTTTGCCACAAAATGACGTTGTTTGATGCTTATCGGAGATAACTTATTTCCATTGATCGGAGTAATTCTTACCCAAAAATTATTTACTAACGACTCTTCTTGATAGAATTAATTAATTTAATTAATTATATTCCTTCCATAAAAAAATATATTCCTTCTCTGTTAACATAGCTAGGTTAATCGATAATTGAGCATGGAAAAAGTGAACCACAAAGGTAGAGAGGTTGTCATTTCCGAGGTTTTAAATTAGGATTGTAAATGGGTGGAAAGAGATTTCTGGAGGGCCTACAACGGGGGCGTTTGGTTCAGGAATTTTTTTTGGAATAATAGGAAAATGAGATATATAGAGAAATGATTGGAAAGATAGATAAAGTGAGATAGGTAAAAAAATGTAAAAAAAAATTGTTTGGTGGAGAAAAACTTTACTGGAAAAATTAGGTAGCTTTATGAAATCAACAGTACATTAAAAGCCAGATAACCGGTTTTCCGAAAAATCCCACTTTCAAATTGGGTTTCTAAACAGTGCGGATATCTCTATTTCTCCTAAATCCAGACAAATTGGATAGATGGGTTTTTGATGAAAAACGTTGAAACAAACATGGTGTTTCTAAAAGCCATACTTGAGAAAGATAGATATCCGCTGAAAAGCTCCCAACCAAACACCACCTAAGTGTAACAGGAAGGATTCTTCAAAGCGATCGCTTGAAGAAGAGGTTGAAAAGGTGAGTAACAGGGACAAGAAGCCAAAGTTGGAGACACTTAGGGTCTATTTGATTGTGTTTTGGTTTTTTTTGTTCTTAAAACTGTTTTGTAAAACAGTTATGAAACAGTTATTTTTTATATTTTATTTTTTTTGAAAGTTAAAAACAAAAACAGAAAATAAAAATAACTCAGACATATTCTCTAAATTTGATTTTAAAAACAAAAAAACAATTATAATTTTCAAAATATTTTTTACAAAACAGGTGTTGGCAAACGAGTTTTTTACTTTTTTTTGTTCTAAAAACTAAAAAATTGTTTTCCAAAATAGAAATCAAACAGAGCCTAATCTTTCTCTTGCTTTGCCTGATGTGTTAATTTCTCTCACAGCTTCAAACGCCTCACAAAATGGTAGTGATCAACCAGTTATGACTAAACCTAGCAGGCCATTAACTACTCACACTTCATATTCAAATGATCGTACAATAGCTTCTTGGTCTCACTCTTATTCTCATCTTTTCTCACACAACCCAAGTTGCTCTGGCACACAATTCCGAATGGAAAAAAGAATGATTATATGAACTAGTATTTTTAATACTGGCTATTACCTGGCATGAAGGTACTAAGACCACCATGATTATTGGACGAAGCAACCCCATCTCCTATTGGCTTGAACCTTCTATAAATAGACTCATTAGTCCCGTCCCCACAATTCCAAATTTGGTCATCTTTCCTCACTAAATAATAAAATTATCAATTGAATTGCAGGTGAGTGAGCAACTTGGGTTATGTGAGAAAGGGTGAGAATAAGGCGTTTGAAGTTGTGAGAGAATGAGTAATAAGGAAACGGTGAGTAATAAGGATAATGTAATTGATTAAACAACTATTGTAATCGATTAGTTTAATATATTTCGGTCCTAGAGAACCGTATAATAATACTGTAAGGTATGTGCTCAGAGATATCCTATAGATAGGTACCTTGGTTGGTTTATAGCCAATATCTCAATCACTGCGCACAAACAATAGTCTTATAGCTAGGGCTGGCAATATGGGCCAGCCCGCCCCGGCCCGCCACTAGCCCGTCCAAAATGGGCTGGCCCGCCCCGGCCCGTTTTGACAAAATGGGTTGAATTGAGTAACCCGGCCCGTTTTATGAGTGGGCTGGCGGGCTACGGGCCAGCCCGCCTAAAATAAAAAAAATATAAAAATAAAATACAAAAAATTAAATTCTGCATAAAATCACATAAAAAAATCTGCATAAAAGCATACAAAAATCTGTATAAAATCCTAATGTGCTTATGAAACCAAGAAGATCAGTGTTTAATAATCTGCATATAAATATGCATCTTTCAATCCAAAAATAATAATAAAAAAATAAAATCATATCAGGATAAAATAGAATAACAAAACAAGTAACAAAGTGTTGTATGAGCAGTCCACAACAATTCAAAAAAGCCACTTGCAAGCAGAGAAATCTAAGATACGGAGCTACATAACAATTGGGTAACCTAAAAAAAAAAAAAAATGACTTGGCGGGCTAGCCCGCCCCGTGGCGGGCTGACCCATATGGGCTGGCGGGTTTGGCGGGGCGGGTTGGGCGGGCTGGTGGGTTGAAAGACTCAACCCAGCCCACCCCATTTGGCAGGCGGGGCGGGCCAGCCCGGCGGGCTCAGCCCATTTTGCCGGCCCTACTTATAGCCGAAACATGGGTGTGTGCAGGGCAATAGTAGTAAATGAGTTCATAATGTGTACTTGGGGTCTTTAGCCTCTTATTTATAAAGATTACATTCATAGGTTTGGGCCTTTGAGATCTCCCAGTTGATATGACTTGAAAAAGGGTTATGAAATATTATTGATTTTTTATTTGATTCTGTACATAGGGGTATCTATTAATAGAGACTTCTTGACCTAATTTTGACCTAATGGGCTTGGCCCAATATACAAGTAACAGACTAAATAAATACAAATAAATGACTATATGATTACTAATAAATGACTACATAATTACTATTTACAACACTCCCCCTCAAGCTGAGGAATAGATATTTATCATTCCCAGCTTGCTAGCAAGTTCTTGAAATCTATATGAAGGAAGCCCCTTTGTCAATAGATCAGCTAATTGACGCTCAGTGGGAATGTATGGAGTGGTAATCAACCCGCTATCAAGTTTCTCTTTGATGAAGGGGCTTCCTTCAGATAGATTTCAAGAACTTGCTAGCAAGCTGGGAATGATAAATATCTATTCCTCAGCTTGAGGGAGAGTGTTGTAAATAGTAATTATGTAGTCATTTATTAGTAATTATGTAGTCATTTATTTGTATTTATTTAGTCCGTTACTTGTATATTGGGCCAAGCCCATTAGGTCAAAATTAGGTCAAAAAGTCTCTATAAATAGAGACCCCCTATGTACAGATTTTGGGATTGCAATAGAGTCTAGTGCTGAAACAAAGCTTTTGTGCTGCACAGACAGATTAGCAGAGGAAACAAAATGGGAGATAGGGTATTGAGTACAAGAGGAACAAGAATTCTTGGGACATGATCTTTTTCCTTTTCTAAGAGCAATGGGTAAATCATCAGAATCAGTGGTAATGGGTAAGTCATCAGAAGTATCATGATCAGAAATATGAGATTCAGGACTTACCAGTGGTTCAGACGATTGAGGTTGCTGCTGAGGCAATGTAGACTGTGTATCAGTCATAGGAGGATCAGTCACAGGAGGATCAGACATAGACACATTGGGAACAGGAACAAGAGGAAGAGACACTGACTCAGGTGAAGGAGTAGACACTGAAGATTCAAATTCAAAGAAGGAAGGTGATGAGTCTTCTAGTGAATTATTCTCCCCCTGAAGATGAGGACCTTGGAAAAAGGACTCAGATTCCTGAAATGTAACATCCATAGAAACAAAAAAATTTCGACTACCAGGGTGATAACACTTGTAGCCCTTCTTATCAGGAGCATATCCAAGGAAGACACATTTAAGAGCCCTAGGATCCAACTTACTGCGATGCTCTTTATGAATATGAACAAAGACAACACACCCAAACACTCGAGGAGGAAGACTTTGCAAAGTTGGAACAGAAGGAAAAAAAGAAGTCATGGAGTGAATAGGACTTACATGATCGAGAACCCGAGTGGGTAGACGGTTGATCAAGAACGTTGCAGTAAGAATGGCATCTCCCCAATAGCATTTGGGCACACGTGTTTGAAACAGTAAGGCACGAGCAACTTCAAGAAGGTGACGATTTTTTCTTCCAGCAACCCCATTTTGTTGAGGGGTGTCTACACAAGTAAGTTCATGAATCATACCTTGATTTCGTATAAATTGGGAAAAACTGTGATTAACATATTCACTACCATTATCTGTTCTTAGTCTCTTGATTTTTCTACCAAATTGGGTCTCAACCATTTTATAAAATTGAAAGAACAGATGTGGTACCTCAGACTTTTCATGCATTAAGTAAACCCAAGTTACACGAGTGCAATCATCAATAAAAGAAACAAACCATCTATTTCCAGAAGCATGAGGGACTTTAGAAGGACCCCAAACATCAGAATGAATAAGATCAAAAGGTTCAACACTCTTAGTACTACTAGAAGGAAAAGACACACGATGATGCTTAGCAAACTCACAAACATCACAATGAAAAGACTCAACAGGCTTAGATAAAAACAATGACGGAAATAAAGACTTGAGTAAACCAAATGGAGGATGTCCCAAGCGCTTATGATGAAGCCAAATCAAAGAATCAGCAGTTGATTGACCATGAGACATCAAGATGTGATCTGTTACTTTATTTGCGGGAGATTGTGACACCAGATAGTACAACCCACCTTGCTCTTTAGCACTACCAATCGTCTTCCCCGTGGCGAGATCCTGAAAAACACAATGGGTAGGGAAGAAGGTTACAGTACAATTCAGATCTTTTGTAATTTTATGAATAGAAAGAAGATTCGTGGAGAGTTTAGGAACATGAAGAGCATCTTTAAGATGTAAGGACTGCTGTAAGTTTATGTCACCAGAACCCGCAACTGATGTATGTGAGCCATCAACTATGGCTATAGTATGAGTTCCAATGGTAGGATGATAAGAAGCAAAAGAGTCAGCACAACAAGCCATATGATCAGTAGCACCAGAATCAACAACCCAGGAATGTTTAAAATCATTACATGAAGAAAGGAAAGAATGAGTTTTGGGGCTAATACCAGTCAAAGCCAAAGCACTAGATGAAATGCAGGTTGGGTCTCATTAGGTGCAGGAGTTATTCCAAAGGAAGTAAAATGCGCTTGACCACGCATCCTTGCCATCTTTTCTAAGACAATTTGCTTTCCATGGAGGCGAAAGCATAAATCCTTGATATGACCTGTTCTTTTACAATAAGAACACCATCGATCATCTCTCTTAGGTTTAGAAGATGCACCATCATAAAACTTTGTAAAGGAACTCCTTTGAGAAGAGGCCATACTGCACAAAAAACAGTCAACGAAAAAGGCTCTAAGAAACCAAAAAATTCGGAAAAAATACCAAACGATGTCCGATCTGAGAAAACAACACAGATCCAGAAAGAGAACAAGGAGACGAGAAGAATGGTGGTGGTCCGGTCCAGAAACACCGCCAGACGCGCCTCCACGCGCCGGAGAAAGCAGCTGCGCGTGGGCTTCACTCGCGGACAAAGAGGCGGCGCGTGAGAGCGCGTGGCAAGGCTTCTTCGGCTGAAATTTTTCCGGTGTGGTCGTCCGGTGAGCGCGCACCTGTCTGTGGGTGGTTGCGGTTGAAAAGTCACCGGAAAGGGTTCTAAACGGTGAAGACAGAACTGGTTGAAGGCGGTCGGAGGTGTTTGGGTCGTTTGTGGCGGAGGAGGAACGTTGCGTAGAATGATAGAACGAAAAAAAAAGAAGGTAAACAATGGTCCCCTTGGTCCAAAAGGTCCCCGGAAAATTTTTTCCGGTGGCGGCAAGAGGCAAAGAAATTAGGGTTTTGTAAAAAAAAAGACAATAGGCGCGGAAGCAGAGCCCTCAGGATCGAGAACTCTGATACCAACTTGAAAAAGGGTTATGAAATATTATTGATTTTTTATTTGAATCTGTACATAGGGGTCTCTATTTATAGAGACTTCTTGACCTAATTTTGACCTAATGGGCTTGGCCCAATATACAAGTAACAGACTAAATAAATACAAATAAATGACTACATAATTACTAATAAATGACTACATAATTACTATTTACAACAATATGAAATATGTCTTGATTGATGGGAATAAAGATCTTATCCCTTGATCCTCTCTAGATTATATGGTTGTGTTATCTCTCTCCAATCTTACTAGTAAGAAAGTTGTTAGGATATGGATCGAGTCCATAACAATATACATTTAATCGATTAAGTGGACAATGTAATCGATTACTTTGTTGGTCAACGGTCAAACAATGGCAGATTGTTATAAAGTTTTGGGGCGGGTGCAAGTGGTATTTTTTAATTTAATCAAGGGCAAAAGTGTCAATCACTCTTTTTAACTAAATCATATCTTTTAACATTTTCAATTATGACTGAATAATTAAGAAGTATTATCATTATGATAATACTTTTGGTTCACTTGTCCCATATTTTAATTTTAATATTTATTTTTATTGTCAACAATTTGCAAATAGCAAATCCTAAGCCAGCTATTTTTATTAATCGTTTATGTTCTTCCTTGATTACATGAGTTTAGGCATTGAATTCACTTTAAATATTTCTTCTACTTATCTCTGATTATGTGAAATCTTAATCATCCCCCATTAGCCAAAATTTAAACCACACTTTAGAACCAAAATGTAGGAACTTTGATTTATTATAATTTATAAAGTTATAATTTAAACAACTCCAAGGAAGAACACAATCCAAATATTGCACACTAATTGAGTATAGGGAATAAACTTAGGGTTAAACGAATATAATGTTAGAGGAACAAAGAAAAGCTGTCCTGCTGAAACATCAATAACTGTGCTTGTTTTTTAATTTTATTTCAAAAAAAAAACATGTGGGCCCACAATTGTTTTGTGTCAACAGGATAACTTTGTTTTTTTACTGTGACAGGATGCTTGTTTAACCCATAAACTTAATATTGCATTCTAATTAAGTAAAGAAAACACAATTAATTGAGTAAAGAAAATAAACAAAATTTGGGATGAGTCAATATATCATGGCCCTAACAACCATTAATTAAGGGTTTGCTCGAGTTTCTAGAAAGCAGCATATCTTTAAGTAATAAGTGTGAAGAGAATACTTTCAGGTTGCAACAAAATTCTTCAAAGTACTATTGATTTTACTTAAGGGATTCATGTTTTTCTTCAAACAGAAAATAACTTTATTTTTATACACATATGAGTGGATGGGCCCTACAAGGAGAAGAGAAAGAAACACAAAAAGTAAGGTTCATTCACTCTCGTGTGTTTACAGGAGATAAAATTATCCAGGAAAAAATATTAAACCTTTTATTTAAACATGTTTTTGTAAAACCTTTAATCTTTTCAAAATACAACAATTTGATACCAACCAAGTTTATGCAGTGTTTTACCCATTAATAACTTAATAGGTTATTTATTCACCAAATTTCTATATATGTATAAGCATTGTAATTATGAGAATGACACTACTGCCAACCTTGTTGAGCTTTTTCCTATTCTTCGGGTCTGGAATAATCATACTTTTGGTATTATCAACAAAAGGAAATCTTTTATCATTCGTAGGCTCGATGGAATTCTAAGAAATTTGGAGATTCGGTTGAATTCCTTCCTGGCTAACTTGGATATTGAATTGAGGCATGAACTGGAAGAAATCTTGGAGCTTAAAGAGCAACTTTGGTATCAAAAGTCCAGAACTACGTGGATTCAAGGCGGAGACCGCAACATAAAATTTTATCACACTTATGCTATTGCAAGGGGGAGGAGGAATAAAATTTTAGCTCTTAAGAATGATGCTAGAATTTGGATACGAAGTGAATCAGTTCTCAAGCGTTTGGTCACCAAGTTCTACCAAAAGCTCTTTTCTGAAGATCATCCTTTTAGGAATCGACCCCATCTTGAGCTTGTTGAGAAACAGACGCTAAGTAAATTGTTTACTGCTGAAGAGATAATGAGCACAATTTTTCAAATGGGTCCTAATAAGTCTCTTGATCTTGATGGATTCTTAGTTGCTTTTTGTTAGAGCAATTGGGACTTTTTGTCTGAAAAGGTGGGTAATGATATCAGATTTTTCCTAGATAGTCTTGAGGAAATTCATAAAAAAAATCAATGAGAACTTGCTTGTTCTTATTCTTAAAACAGAGAAGCCTGAAAGAGTGGATCAACTTAGACCTATATCTTTGTGCAATGTTCTTAATAAGGCAATTACCAAGATCCTTGTTAATCGTTTAAAGCCGATTATGAATATACTTATTTCTCCATTTCAGTCTAGCTTTGTTCCTGGTAGAGTTATCCATGACAATGTGATAATATTGCAAGAGATGACTCATTCCATGAACAGGCTCACGGGGAAGAAAGCCTACATGTCTATCAAAATAGACCTGCTAAAGCTTACTACCGCTTAAATGGGGAATTTGTCATTAGGATTCTGATTGAAGCTGGAATTCCGTTGCATATTGTCAAAATCATTGAGCCTGCATAAACTCCTCTAAGTTTCAAGTGCTTTGAAATGGTAATTCAAATGACCAATTTACGCCTTCAAGGGAAATTCGGCAAGATGACCCAATCTCGCCCTATTTATTTGTGCTTTGTATGGATAAATTATCTCATTTAATTGTAAATCTATCCACAAATAAATAGTAGAAACCTATGAAGGTTGGGAAGAAGGGTCCTCCAATTTCCCACCTTATGTTCGCGGATGCTTCAATTTTATTTGGAGAAGCTAGCCTTGACCAATTAGAGGTGATGATAGGCTGCTTGAAAGAATTATGTGATATGTCTAGCCAACTTGTTAGCATCGAAAAAACGGTGATTTATTTCTCTAGAAATACTAACACCCCTATTAAGGAAGTTATCACACAAGCTAGTGGTTTCAAGGCTACAAATTCTTTGGGCAAGTACTTGGAGTCTATGTTGTATCATGGCAGGGGAAAAATGAGGAATGTTGCTAGTGTTCTTAATCGAGTAAAGGCTTGGCTTTCTAATTGGAAAAGTCATTTCTCTCCTTTGCAGGACGTGTGACTCTAGCTAATTTTTTCCTAAGTTCTATTCTTGTTTTTAATATGCAACATAGATCTATTCCCATTTCGGTTTGCAACAAGATTGAGCAAATCAAACGTTCTTTCATTTAGGCGGACACTCTTGAGAAGAAGAAGGTGCATCTTACTGCTTGGGAAAACTTGTGCAAGCCTAAGCATGCTAGTGGGCTGGGTATCCATAACCGTAGGGTTCATAACGACGCATTATTGCATAAGGTTGCATGGAGAATGATAAATAATAAAGATGCTTTATGGGTGCAGGTCCTCATTGGGAAATATGAGAGGAATCTTGACTTTCGAAGACAAACCAGAGTGCAGCAGTTCGATTTCAATCTTTGGAAAAGAGTGGGTTGTGTGTGGAATGGTTTTCTAAACAATCTTCAATGAGACATAGGAAATGAGAAAGACATTTATCTCTGGCAGCACAGATGGACTTACCTCGATAGTCCCCTTCTTGATTATGCTACGGTGTTGCGATCACAACAAGTATACCAGTCGTACAAGTAATAAAGAAGTGAGTAGAATATCGTTCCCACGAGGATTAGTGTTTCAACCACTAGTTCACTATTTTTACTTAAATTGGTAAAATCAAATTTGGTTTGATAAGCATAATAGAAATCCAATTTTAAAGAAAACAATTAAAAGAACAACCGCCAAAAATAATTAAATGCAAGAAAAAAATTCTAATAATTAAAGAGGGATTTAAAATTAATAATAAAAATTGCAGCCAAGTATACTTCATCTCCGATCCCTTTTTATGATTCAATTCAATTCAATAAATTTCTATCCCAATTGTTTCAAATAATTCATTATCTAAATAATTAGCTAGTTAAATCCTAATGACTTAGTGCCTTTAACCCTTTAACCTAATTGGAATTCTAATGCCTTAGTAACTCCCCCTTTTTTTTGGTAAACATTAGTAACCCCTTTTAGATTAAGCTTTACACGCGATGAATTACAAAACTTTGCAATTCCTACCAGCCTTTGTCTAGATCAAGTAAGAATTGGTGTTTATCCCTGTCTAGATTACGACCCCAATATATTTATTGCGAACCCTAACCCTCTTTATTAGGGGTGTTCATCAACCGATCCAAACCGATTCAAACCGCGGTGACCGAACCGAAAAACCGAAAACCGAAAAACCAAAAACCGAAAAAAACCGCAAATTTTAATTGGATTGGATCGATTTTCGGATTGGTTAATGAAAACCGATCCAATCCAAACCGATCCATTCCCTTTACCTACTTGGACATTTCCCCAATCATAACCCAAAAATTTCTAAATCCAAGACTCATTAACCCATCAACTAAATCCAAGAAAAAATCTAGTCACTTCTCATCAACAAAATTTTATCTGTATAGAGCTTCATATCTCATTGCCCAAAAAAAAAAACTATATTATCAGTTACTGATGCTTTTGTATTTCAAAAAATAAATAAATTTGCAAAGCCAATATATACAAAAGATATTATTTGCACAATAATTATGAAACAAATTTTAGGATTTTCAAAAAACCGAAAACCGATCCAATCCAAACCGAAAAAAATTGAATTGGATCGGATCAGATCGGATTTGAAAAAAAATCCAAACAGAATGGATGATCACATTATCAAACCGAATGGATTGGATCAGATGATTTTTGCTTTCAAAACTGACCCAATCCAGACCGCGAACACTCCTACTCCTTATTCCTATATGGTTGGTGAGATCATACAAGAATTTAAACAAGCAATTCAAGATAAGCATAAACAATTAGAGACAGTTTATTAATACAAAGAATTGAATCAAATAAAGGATTCATGTCGGATCTATATTCCTATTTACAATAAAAATTAGCTAGACATATTTGGCTTAAACAAACAATAAAATAAAAGAAAATAGAAGAAGTCATAGAATGGGTGTTGGTTGATCTCACAATGACGCTTCGATCTCCCTCTACCTTCGTCCTTGATCTTTGCAAACTTTGAATTCTATGATCTCTGCTTTCTTCCTTTGTGTGTGAAAGAATGAATCCCCTGCAACCTCCTTTTTATAATTGAAGAAGCATATAATTTATTACCCTTTAAAATCACTAATCAGATTTTCATAATTATTCCATCAAAATTCTCTTTCCAAATCTTCTCAGAGAATAGTTTCCTTTTAAATCATAATAAATCTTCATAGAATCCACAATTAGATATGCTTCCAAATTCTCTTTTTATATTGACAATCAACCAAATATAGAATCAGAAAATTTGAGCCAACATTCCTAGTAATATTTTGGCCTACCAAATAGTTTTTCGATAACATTCTTGGGAAATTCACTTTTCCAGCATATTCCTGGGATTCATGATTCTCGGGAACAATTTTTTTCTCTTCTATCAAACATTCCCTTAAGGATATAAAATAATATTAATTCAGATAATCTCTTATTTGTGATATAAAAGTAATTTTAATATTATTTTTTATAATTAAAACATATTTATTTTAATATAGTAATGTAATTTTTTTTGAGTAAAACGCCTTTTGAGTTCTCAACAAAAATCACGAGGCTTATTTTAATCCCTTAGAAAAAAAGTCTACTTGTGATTTTTTTGAAATTCAAAATAGATCCAGTCAGTCAAAAATCGCGGTCCCTTTGAAATTCAAAAAAAATCCACGTTAATCATACGAAAGGACTAACATGGTTTATTTTGAATTTCAGAAGAACCACACGTTGGTTTTTTCTCTCTAAAGAATTAAATTGAGTTTCGTGATATTTATTAAGAACTCAAAATATACTTTTTTTTTTTTTTTTTTTTTGAAATACATAGTAATGTAATGTTAACCAATGCATTCATGCATCCATTATCTTTTTCAACTAAAACAAAAAAAAGTAGATTCTCAAAAAATCAATACGTTTGATTGTGTTTTAATTTTTTTTCCTTAAAAATGTTTTATGAAATAATTATGAAAATAAGTGTTTTTTATGTTTTTTTTTGTTTTAAAAGTTAAAAATTAAAACACAAAATAAAATAATTTTTTTATTTTAAAAACTAAAAACCTGTTTTAGTAACCGTATTCAAAGCATTCAAATAGGCCATAATTTCCAAAACATTAACAAATAAGGAAATGATTCATGTGCTACCAAAAAAAAAAAGGAAATGATTCATGCAGTCATGGAAGGAGACTGAACTGTTCTTTTTAGTGTTTACCCTTTACCAACTCTGCACTCTCAAAAGACTCCATAGTTTTGAATTTGGGATCCTTTCGATTCACCACTGTCCCTTTCAATCTTCACAAACCCTACTTTGTCACCATTGCTCCTTCTCTCTAAATGGGTTGGAATCTCTTCTTTTGGCTTATTATTTGTTTCCCTTCCAACATTGCCCTTCTCGCTTCAACTTTCTACCAGGTCTTCTATTTCACTTACTACTCTTGACCCTTTTTTCTCCTTGCATTTTTTACTTCTTTTCTTGGCCAAAGGTTAAATTTTTATTTCAATATCATATTTTATTTATTTATTTATTTATTTTTTGGGTTTAAGGTTTTGATCCTATCTGACTTGGAAGCTGACTATATCAACCCGTTTGATGCTTCATCTCGGATTAACTACTTCGTACTTCCTGAGTTTATTGGACAGGGAGTGTTGTGTGCCCTTTGTCTCTTCACTGGTCATTGGTTCATGTTTTTGCTCACAGTTCCTGTTACTTGCTATCATGTCATGTTGTAAGTAAAGTTGTTCTGTTCTTATTGCTTTTGTTGGGGTTTTCTTTTTCTTTGACCAAATGAAAATGAACAATATGTTGTTGGCATGACAATGTATTTAATGCGTTGTTTATGTGTGATGTTTTTGCTGCACATGCTGTTTTAACCTAGCCTTATAAATGTTCTAATATCAAGTATTTTACTTTTGGGAGGTGTTTGGTACAGGATAAATTTTTTTTGTGCTCAGAGAATCATTATTCGGAGGAATATGGTGGAAAATCACTTTCCCAAGAATATTATCAAAAAACTGTTTGGTATGCCAAAATATTACTGAAATTTTGTTCCAAAAAAGTGTAAATTTTTTCCAACACTTGGTATTCCAATGAAGGGCATTTTGGAAGAAAAATTGTACACAAAACAAAATTCCCAGATTACCGGGGAAATTTTCAAAAACCTTATACCAAATATAGGTAAATAGGATTACCAATATCACTTTCCCAAGGATCTCAAAAAATTCCCCCTACCAAATAACCCCTTGAAGAATTAGTCTGAACTGAAAACCAAACACTCTTCAGGTAACTTATATATTTAGATTTTATTTTTTCCCTACATTACTGCCTAGATGCAAGCACATAACTGGTCACATAAGAGGGCGAGCTTAGAGCAGTGATAAAACTGTTTCTTTGTGACTCAATGGTCACGAGTTCGAATATAAGAAACAGACTCAATGGTCGGTTGGTAAATGCAAGAAGGGATCTACTTTGCTCAGGGAACCAAGGGGGTGAAGTTCTTATATGATGTGATTGGTTGCGCTTTTTGTTTATTCACACTTTTATCTACAGATCTTTTATGCAAATTTTATTACATGTTAACTGGAGTGATCATTCCAATCATAATTAGGAGACTTCTATGTCTGCTGCGGGTATACTCCTCCTTTTTTATGTTTCATCAATCTTTAATTCTTATTTCATAGAAAGTTAGAAAAAGAAAAGACGGAAGATATTGATAACATTTTTCACTTGAGAATGCGGCTTGCTTCAACTCATTTTCCAGAGCTTTGCCACAAAATTGATATAAAGCTATTTTAAACTTCTTTTAATACTTAGCAGTTATTTGATCTGTAAATTACCAGATTTCTTTCACCATAGAGACTGAGAACAGTATGAATACATGGAATAGTGGTTTCCTCCTGCCATGGCTGGAAAACTGCTTGAACCTATTGTTTTATCCTCTCTCTTTTACCATTCGGATTTGGAGGTTTTGATTGAAACTGTCTTCACTCATATTTGTTTTTCCTCTTTTCTTCATATGAGCTGTTGGATATTTCATGATGACAGATTAGATGGAATCTTTAAACTCTCTATTTGACTATATTGAGGTTTATTGTTTACTTATTTATCATTGTAATTTACTAGTTTACGTTTCTGAGCTATTAATTTGTTAACCTTGTTTACCTGTGGTGTAGATAAAATGTACTTATGGTGCTGTTAATTTGTTAACCTTGTTTACTGATTGTGTAAAATGAAATGAACTTGTGGTGCATGCAAATGACCAAGCTAGTTTGATGTTTAAGAATTTTCCAACTTGTGTATCTATATTAATTTTGGATTATTTTGGGGTGATATAAATATGGGAAAGCAAGTTACAATGATGAGAAATTGAATTATTTAATGAATTTATGTTTGTACTTATCTTGTTTTGTATTTCTATTTAGGGTTTATCTTATGAACTTTACGTTCTTTTGTCATGATTATTCTATTTCAATGATTCAGGTATGTGAAAAGAGAGCATCTTATTGATGTTACTGAAGTTTTTAGGGTACTTAATGCTGAGAAGAAATTTCGGATAGCCAAACTTGCTTTGTACTTAACGGTCCTCATTGTCACTATCTTCAGGTTTGTCATTCCCTTAAAATAGCACATGCTTATCTACTGTGCTTTGTCTTGTACAGTCTTAGTGCATAACATTTTATCTATTCTTTTTCTAATTAGGCCTTCCATTAGGATTCTTGTTGCAGGAAAGATAATATTTTACAATTCCAAGTTTGAAGAATTAGACATTCGGGTAAATGCTCTAGAATTATAGGAAAATTTTGTAATCCTCCCAAAACATATAGTCTACACTTCTTTAGTAGATTAGTATTTATTTCATTAGTATTGTAACCAATTTAGCTGCCCTGGTTTTAGAGACTCTCAGAATCCTCTAAATAAAATTTATTGACTAGTCCCACTCCTACTGTATTTTTTCCCTCCCTAATTCTTTTGTTCTCCAATATAGATGTAAATGAGTGAAATTCTGTAAGTGACCTTGATTTTGTGATAATTGATATTGCAATTGGTTTTGTGTCATACTTATGGTATAAGCATACATGTAATGTATGAGCAAGTTTGGATGCCTCTGTCTATGTGCTTTCATGACCTGATAAAAATATTTTATCCTCTAAATTTTGAAAAACATATCAGATACCAAATGAAACTATGTAAGTTAAAATATTTGCTTCATTTAAGAAAGAAAATGGTTATGAATTCTTTGCATATGAAATGAATCTTTATTCTTTTAAAACAAGGGATAGGATATTGTGACACCCAAGTTATGTTACACCCATGTGACACCCAGTCAATCTCACCGTTAGATCGCTTATGTTGATCCAACGGTTATATTTATTTCCATCTTTGTATGGTCATGATTTCTCAAATTTAATATTTTATATTTATTTCTACCTTTGTATGGTTATGATTTCCCATATTTAATGCTTTCACTTTAAATTTGGGAAATCATGACCATACAAAGATGGAAATAAATATAACCGTTGGATCAACATAAGCGATCTAACGGTGAGATTGACTGGGTGTCACATGGGTGTAACATAACTTGGGTGTCACAATATCCTATCCCTTAAAACAATTCTTTAATTGAGATATTACTAGTTATTAACTTGTTTTTGCAAAAATACCTTCTACAAACTTAAATGTGAGTTGCTATAGTTCTGATCCGCATTATTCTTTTTACCAGATTAAATTGAAAAGACCATACTTATATCTCAAGGGAGTGCTAACGCATCTTTCATGCATTATATAGTATTTTTCCCATGCCTTCTGTCAGTTGACATCATTCAACTTTTAGTTTTTATGTATTAGAGTGTCTTATTCTCCCATATTTGTACTTGTCTCTTTTCTACCGACTAAAATTTCTTTTCCCAATCAAAAGAGCATCGTTCCACTTCTTTTGTATTGTTGCATATTTGGACCTTAATGAAGAATAAACCAATATCCATTGTTAGTTAATTCCAAGTATAAGCTGAATTTACTTGAAAGGAAATATCTCCTTTTAAATCTGGATTAAGAGATCATCTTTGTGTTTTAGTAGTATATAATGCTAATTAGACATGAATCCTTTTTGTCTCTTCCTTTTGCTGTATTAATTTTTAAATCAGTGAGTACAATCATGATGAGGGACAGGGAGGGAAGTTGCAAATTAAGCGATGCAATGTTTAAAGGACTGGATTCAAGGTGCCGACATAAATTTGAAAAGTTCATTGCTGCTATTATTGGCACGAGTGAAAGAACTTCTGCAGTGTGCTTCGGTGTTAATCACGTGGAGTTGTACACAAATCTTACCTAGAGGCTAGAGGATCAGCTGCAACTACAATGCCGACATAAAACAAAAACATGTTATATTACGAAAGTTGGTTTAGCAAGAATGCCAGATCCTTTGTTGCTTCTTCTGTGTCTTGTAATATATCAGTGTGTTTTTCTTATATTGATAGGAACTAGGAATTTTATTACAAAAAATAGGGATAAACCCAATTACAGAGATCAAAATCACTGGTTCATCATTCTTACTCTAATGAAAAAGACTGCAGAACTTCGAGGGTCTTAAAATCTCTCTGCCCAAAGACCCAAAACTTACTCAGTGACTGATGTCCTCTCCCTTGCATTTCCCTGCCTTTTATATTTGCTTCTCAACCTTTCCCCTTGTGGCAAGGTTGTTGCAGCCCAAATTCCTCTTCTTCCCTTTACTCATAATTCCCACGTGGTCTAACATAGGAGTGCCTAACAATACCGCCCTTCAAAGGATCCACCTTGTCCGTAAGGTGGAGGTCTGGGTAAGTGCCCTGTAATAACTGAAAGGAGTTGTACCAGGTTCCCTTTGCTTGAAGCACAACATCCAAGTGATGATTGAAGCATAATAATTTTCCACTATGGTCCCGTTGCTTGAAGCATGATGACTGGATTCCCAGTTTCTTGGGGACCTCATTTGTATCGCACTTTCAATCCAGTATCTGTACCTCCCAGGTTGAGTAGGAAAAAGTGAAATATGCTGCTAACTGATAAGTGCAATGTCTTTGCTTTCATTGATCCTTCCTTTGGCAAATAGCTTTCAGTCTTTCACAGATCGAGTATAGTTCAACATTTGGGATCATCTTGAGGATAAGATCAGCAACCCCATAGCCATTCACACTTCAAGCAGTAGACTCATCGACATTGTGCAAAATAAAGACATCAGATGTGTTCCAATTTTCTGGTTCACTTAGATAAGATATTCTTGCATAAAGCATACAATCCTCTGATGCCAAACCACACTCATGGTAATATCCATCTTCTAAACCTCCCCTACTATTAATATTCCAGTCAATTCTCGCAACATCTTGCTCTGCATTACCATGTTTTGATGGATTTTTTCTCATACAAAAGTGGGTCCAGGGTCACAAAATATAGAATCATTCATGCTGATCTCGTCAACCTTGATATGTTCTAGTAGCTGACTTCGTGTATTGTTCCCGTTTCTAAATATATTATTCTCTTTGAAGAACCGATCCAGCAGAACACCCTTCCCTTCACTGGCGCTTAAGTCTTCTTGTTGAGCTCCTTGAATTATCTTGCCACAAAGTAGCCAACTACCAGCACTGGAGCTTGTCGTTGTAATACCAACTTCACCCTATGCTTCCTTGAGGCTTGAGCTCCTATGTATACAGCTCCAAATTTACAGAACCCATGAACTAGAGAAGCTCAAGTTGGCGGTGAATTAACTACACATCCCTTACTGTTGCTAACCCCAACTAGTTTGTGATAAAGGGGATGTTGATATATTGATATGTTGTAATCTACGTGTGAACTCTATGCATTGTTCAAGTCAAAAAAGCCTGACAGTAGATTTGGAGGAGGGATTCAACTTATTAGAGGTCTCATGAAAGAACATTTGCTGCTCTAATTAAATCACAACATGCTACTGTTTGTCTATGGATTAATTTATTTTTCTTTCTTAGTTACTTAAAGATTCAAAGTACAACCCCCACCTTTAACAACCTATTCCTATTAGCATCTTGACATGTACATGATGGTGATTAGAGAGGTGAATGGCCAAGCTAGACCTTGGATGATTTTACTACTTCTGTTTAGTACTTGATGTGGGAACTTATATTTGTCCTTGAGAAGTGATGTTCTCTTTATTTCACTGTCCCATTCTTTAAAATCTGTCGTCATTTCATGTCCTAACTTCTGTCTTTGTAATGTGATGTCGTTTGTCGTGGTTGTGTGACTCATTAAAACCCTATATGTCATATTAGGGGGTACCATATTTTCCTTTATTATAAGGTTAAAAAAAGACTTCAGCATAATTTTCTGTGAATTTACAAATTATGTTCCTTATGCCAACATCTTCCCTTAACAAAACGCGTTGGTCTCTCGTGATCATATATTATTGTAATCTTCATTCTTCATGGCTAGCTATTTATAACTTCCTCAAGGAAACTGAAGGTCAACTTTTCTACCAAATTTCTTTTTGCAGGCTTACATTAATCGGTGTGTACTATTTAGGTATCGAAGATGATGATGACATGGGAAACCTTTGGTAAACCACAACATATGCTATGTGGCAACCAATGTGTAAGTTGAAACCCCTTTTTAGGGGGGTTGTTGGGAGGGTCCCCTTTTTAGTGGGAATTTGTGATTTGATTTGTACCCTTAGGTTTAGAACTTAGAACACAGCTGCTCATAGAAATAGAAATCTTAGTCATTAACTTGAATGAAAGACTGCAAACTCGAGTATACTCTTCGTTTGATATCTATTCTTTTTTAAGTTTAAATAGCTTGTCCACTGAATTTGATGTTTAACAGTAATGGAAAGAAATTAATGGAAGAGATGATTTGAATGGTACATATTATTTGGATGTTCAGAGTATGTGTGCAGAGGTGATCTGAATGGTACTTAATACTGATTGTTTGTTAAGAATGTTGTGTTATAGAAATTCCTTGTGCAGGTTTAGTTCAAGAGTCAGAACTTTGTGTATAATTTGAGCCTAAACGATATAATCATAGATGAGTAAACCTTCAATTTGGTCAAAAGATTTTCGAAGCGTTAATTTGGTCATTAAATAATATCTTGTTGACATGAAAATAGTTTGTAAGTTATTGTTTACTGGGACCAAATTGATGTTATTTGATGACCAAAATTCATCATTTGAGTACTAAATTTGATGCGCTAATCTTTTAGACACAAAATTGACGTTATGTTATGAGTATCTTAACCAGAGAACATCATGCACTCAAAATGTAGGACTTTTATAGGTGTCCTTTTTTTGGCTCCATTTGCTAATCGTCATTAATTTATGTTCCTCCGAGATACTTGTATATGGGCTTTGTTGGGCTCTGATACATGGGCCCAGTACCCATTGTGGTAAGTGATTTGTGGTGGCCTAGGCCCAATAGACTCCACCTTGATTTATACTCTGGTCCCGGTTTATTAAATAACAGAGCAGGCTCGAGCAAGGCATTGGATATTCTGGCTAGGGAAGTTAAATGAATTTGTTGACATTTGAAATGTAAAATTGGGTTCATTTCATATAAATAGTTTTTTGTTTTAATTTTTTATAGCCGGCTCGTCTGACCTTAATTTTCCTCTTTTATCTTGACTTAGGACACGGAGTTGATATAAGGATTTAAGAACAAAAATAATCTTCTTTATTAGGTGTCTCATTCACTAAATCAAGGTTCGTATATTAAAAGTTGGTATTAAATTAAGGGTTATCTTCACACACAAAAAGAGGTTGGGTCTCATTACTCTTTTTTTTTTCTCCTCTTACCTGTGGGTCCCATTTATACTTTTAAGTCTACAACATGAGGTAACTTTTTTTCTACAACATAAAAAAAATATATCCCTTAAATTAATGGGCTTTGTTTTTCTCCTTTAACAAGAGGAGAAATTGTTTTACAGATACATATTTCAGGCGAGTTTTATCGTTAATAAAATAAAATTAAATTAAAGCATATAAATTGATGTATGTGTGTGGCAGGAGAAATACTTTCTCCAACAACATGAGAAAGTATTTCCCCTAAATTAATAGCTTTTTTGAATTTATTTTGTGAAGTGTATCCACTACCCACAACCCTATGCACAGGGTTTGGACAGTTTGGTTTTAGTGAAAGTATCATCACCTTTGTTCCCCTCTAATTTTTTTTTCTTGTAAGCAAATTAATCTTCTTATTAAAATAAATTTCGGTCACCATCAATTTTTCTCTTAAGAGACAAACAAATGGAACCTTGTTAAAGGAAAATCTAACCATGGACGGAAAAAAAAAAATTATTTTGAGGGAATGATATATTTGGCCCCCAAAACAAACGATAGCAGGCATCAATGAAAATGACAATGGCATGTAGAGTGGGCCTTATCATCTTTCTGGCATCTGCCCAAACCCGACATACTGTGGTCATCTTGAGAATTGCATGTCTTTCTTTCAAATAATAATTGATGACTGGGTCCATTCCATAGCATCACGTGGGCCTGTTATCCGTTTATGTGTTGGTGACATGGTGGGTCCTTTCTGGGCCCTGGATTTGACGGCAGTTGTGTATCCCTGTGGGCCCTTCGGGCCACTCCAAGCTGCTATCAGTCATAGTCAGCTACTGCAGGCATATTTTCGAATAAAAAAAAAGGAGGAAAAATAGCGGGGACATTATGGGTTAACCGTATGATATTTACTACTATTGGTTTTGATCTAAACCAATTTGATACGGCCCGAGCAAAGTTGGATTCATATTTGGAGTAGTTCTTCCAACATGTTTATTCTTAAAATTCGAATTCGAGATCTCTCGTTAAAAAGAACAAATTTTTTATCAACTAAATCGATGGTTAGTGTTTTGGGTTTGTAATTTCGACGATCTTAGTTAAATAACCCGTGGTGGCCCAGTGTCCTTTTGCTCTTGGCTCAGGGCCTAGTCAGACTTAACTTGGATACTATAAGCCAATAAAATTGGAATCCGTCTTCTCGGAACCCAAAATTATATCCGAATCATGAGTTCCAATCCACGATCATTTCTCACTTTATATTGATAAGACCACGATTAATATAACTGTTAGGTGAATAGCTACCCCATATCCATTGATAATAACCGCTAATATATAACATATAAAAGGACAAGAATAATGGGATAAAAACAAGGTAGAGATTAATTGTAATAGGAGCTAGTATTAGAAATTTGAGCAAGAACGTGAGATAGAGAGAGAGACATTTCTGAATATTACTTATCTATTTCAATACTTTCATCGTGTATTTATACTCATAGCTGAGTTACATGATAATAGAAAGACAACAATTAAAATGACTTGGGTAATTAAAACAAACATAACTATCATAGTTACTGAATTGAACTACAAGCCCAGAACATAATCCTTCAAATGGGCTAGTCTACTTTTCCGTCTCACATTGTCACCACTATTGAGCAGTGGGTCTAGCTCTACAACTTGGGCTGTTACATTACCTTCCCCTGGAAAACTCGACTTGTCCTCAAGTCGGAAGGTGTCACGCTTCAAATGGGCTTGTGCGAGGGAATGGTCCACGACAGCAGTCAAGGGCATGTGGGTGGTTGACAACTCAATTGGCTGGGCACAGGAATTGAGTGGTGGAGATTGAACCGACACTGGTGAAGACTTACGGACCGTCGGATCATGTGAGTTGGTGGGTGCCGGCTGTAACTCATTAGTGGAATTGGACGACGTAGATCTTGCCGACAAGGGAGAAGAAATCTCAACCATTAAAAGTGGAATCTGATGAGCTTTCATAGGTATCTGTGGGACTTCAATCCTAGGAAAAATGGGTGACTTGTTCAAATGCGACTCTTCCCTGTCCTCCTCTTGGTTTTCTACTCGAGACATCTTTGCCGTTCCTGTTTGGTTTTCCCCTTGAGCTCCTATCACCTCTGTTGGTTCATAAGCCTTCTGTTTGTTTTCGTGCCCTAGTTGTCCCTCCTTGTCTTTCGTAGTCATACCCTTGACAGTTCCTTTTCTGGTATTCAACACCAGTCCCTCATCCTCCTAAGTGGAATCTTCAACCGGTAGATCCTGCCACTGTACTAGTACTTGAGTTATAAGCTCCCCTTTTCGCCAAATCTATCTGGAGCCAACAATAGCACATGGCTTGTGTAGCAAAGGCGTCTCTGTTTCGGTAAGTGGTAAAGGATGTATCTTGTAATGATGACCTGAACGAAAAGGCCGTAACAAGGAGACGTGGAAAACTGGGTGTATTCTCGCTGTAGGGGGTAACTTCAAGCGGTAAGCTACGGTGCCAATCCTTTCTTCCACTTCAAACGGCCCGTAATATCTTAGGGCTAGCTTCTGAGACGAACGACGGCTAACGGAGATCTGTCGATATGGTTGGAGCCTGACCAGGACCAACTTCCCAGAGGTAAGAGTCCAATCTTTCCGCTGTTTATCTGCTTGCACTTTCATAATTTGCTGAGCCCTAAAATTTTTTTCTTTTAATGTGCCCATGAGTGATATTCTGTCCGAGAGAGTAGCATCTACTGCTTCGTTGGCTGAAGACCCCAAATAATAGGCCAGCAGGTTCGGTGGTTTACAGACAAACATGACCTGATATGGAGTGACTCCTGTGGAGGAATGAAATGAGGTGTGTTAGTATATGGATGTCCTAGAGACAATTTTTTGATTAGATTAGGACATATGTGGACCTTTTATATTGTCGCAAATAAAAAAAAACACTATTTATCCTGTTTCATATTTTGTCTCAATATTATAGTTAATATTTTATATGAGTAACTGGATGAACCCCTTGGAATAAAATAGGTATCTCTTGAGTATCTGTGATGAGATCACGATCATGAGGATTCAAGGATACTGGATGTTTATTCCTAATTTTATGTTCCTAGTCTAGAGACACTGAGAATGGGGATCACTGATCTCGGGTAAGACTAGCACGACTTATCTACTTGTATTCGGATACAAGGTAAAGACCTCATGAGCTACATATATGGAGATGTCTTAGCTAAAGTCGTGGGTGGACCTATAAGGGTATAGCTCGCACTGAACAGACCCACAAAGAGACTCTATGAGGAAATCTTACAAAAGTATCATTAGAGCAGTCTCTTAATATTTGGGTATGTCTTTTCTTAGACCATAAGTTGTCACCTAGACTGTGTTCTAGAAGGCATGTTTTGATTGTATACCTCGTTTTCCTGAAACATGGAGACTCATAGGTATACTTTTGGGCATGTCCTGAAAGAGCACAGGCCTAGGGTGATAAGCTGAAAGAATTCGTCAAATCTATGTAAGGGATTAGGTTATCTGTAAACCGGAGAAATCGGGATGACATTTACAGGACTCGGGAATCTATGCATAGTAAAAGAGATCATGAGATGATCTGCCTCTAGAGTCAGTAAATTGAAGATTCCCTATTTCGAATAAAGCTTACCCTAAACCGCAAGGGTTGATACGTTTCCTTGCCCTAGGTTTAATGGGAAGGTAACTGAGACGAAAGGAAATACATACGGTAACCAAATATGTATAATAGGATGATTATGTCATTAACCTAACTAGCTTTGGGACAACAAAGCATTGCTAGTGCTCTGTGTTGTCATTAGATGGGTTGTGGGCTTGTTGGGCCCAAGCCCATTTATGTCAGTGGCTATGTTGGGCCTAATGGGTCACACACTAACACCTTATTGTCATGATGATATAGCATTAAAGGTATTGAACATAATAATGGTTGTTAGCCCAAAAAGAAGTTTGGAAGCCCACCTAAAAGGGAAAAGGGCGCATGGATCATGTAATGGGCTTGGATGGTCCAAGACATTACTAATTAATTTAATTAGTTAAATTAAA